CATGAACAGGTCAGTTAGCTAATTGGCTTTTCCTGGGGGCAGTCAGTGTAAGCACATCTACAGATTTGCACACACATCACTATACTGAGCTTGTGTTCTTCTCCTGAAATCCACTGGATTTAAAGGAATAAAACATTGGCATGTATTTTAACAGCAGAATATCAAAGTAAACTAAATGTTCAGACTGGCACATTTACACAGAACTTCAAGGAAATAATTCGAAATTCTGTAAGACTATGAGAAAGGTCTACATACAGAAGAAAGTGGGCCATTCCATTCAGTCCATCTTGCTATTTACGTAGCTTAGTAGCTAATTGAATCTAAAATATCTTCCAGCCTCAACTACCTGGCTCTGTAGCCTGTTCCAGACACCCACTGCTCTTGTAGAAAAGAAGTGTTATCTATTCTCTATCCGAAATGAATTTCCTTAATGTTTCCAGCTGTGAAACTATGGAGTCTGTTCCTTGGTTTAAAACAATCTAAACCCTAAGGATTTTGTCTACTTGGACCTCACACTCTCCTCTGTTCAAAACTGAAGAGCTTTAGCTGCCTCAACCTGTCTGTCTAGGACAGTCCCCAAAGTCTAAGGCAATAATAATCTTCCTCTGATCTAATATTAGGGTGACTACAACAGGACACAATATTCTAGAGGTTACGCCCCTTAAGACCACACGCGCCTTCCTGCTCGTCAGCCAGCTCTCAAGCCAGGTACTTGCATCTCCTTGGATTCCTCCATCTTTCACTGAGAATCAACCTGTTATGAAGTGACGTGTCAAACACATTCTGGAAATCTAAACATATCGTGTCACACGTGTTTGTGTTATCTAATGTCTGGAATTAGTTTGAGCAAGTTAGTTTCAGAAGACCTTCCCTTTCTAACCCCACGCTGGCCGACTCCTGGAACACCCTTGTTTCTCCCAGGAAGTAGCACAACTGAAATGCCACCGACTGCACAGATTTCTGGGTAACAGGGCTCAGCCATCAGAAGATCCCACCAGTGTGCGTTTTAGTCTGACTTTACAATGGCCTTGCTCCAGTCTAACTCAACACACCCGCCCCCCCTGCTGGAGTCTAACTCAACACTCCTGAACACCCCTGCGCGCATCTACCTGAACACCCCTGCCACCCCTGCGCGCGTCCAACTCAACACTCGTGACGATTTCCACAGGAGAACTTCCTGCCTCCCCTTCACAGACGCTCCCAGCAGGCGGCAGGGCCGTCACCAAGCACAGCGAGCCCGGCGGTGGGGAGCCAGCACCGCGCCACTCCTGTGCCAGGGCTGGGCTGGGCTGGGCTGCTGATGCCCACAGGAACAGGAGCACAACGGTACAAACAGAATCATCGCGCCACCTGTCCCCAGGGCCTCCTCGGCGCTGCTGGGATACGGCAGCTCCCTGCTGCAGGAGACGGAGCTCAGCTCAAGCAGTGCTCATCTCGTCCGAGCACCGTTTCGCCCACAGTCTTCCCAAGCTCCTGCCTTCGTACCCCCTGGTTTGGGAGCAGAGGGCGACACCCTCGGCACTTCATTTCTTACCGATCGGTAATTGGTATTCGGTGTGCACAAACCCGGAAGGATGAGTAGGATGTCCATTAACCCAGATACTAAATAGATTTACAGATATTTATACAGACACATGCTTAAATACATTTGAAAAAATATCAGTGTGCTAGAACCCGCCGGCCGGCCGGTGACATTTTCTCTCAGATCGCGATCCTTCTCGCTCAACTCCACATTAATCACGGGTCAGCGGGATTCTTCACCTCGCCAGCGGAAACGAAGCCGCCCTGCCTTTCCTGGCTGGCAGGGTCCGATTTCCTGCTCTCCCCTGCCTCTGCCGGTTCCCCCAAACCCTGCTGGGACCCCGGCTCGCCAGGAGCAGAGCAAAAACGTGCCAAAAAAAAAGACAAACGACAGACTGCAGCACCTGAGAGGGGGCCTGCGAGGCTCTGTCCTCTCTCCCAGCTCCCTGAGCCTGCTGCGTCGGACCCGGCCTGCTGCCTGTGAACCGCAAGCTCATTCTGGGACGCTACACCGCAGCCAACGTTGCGCATCAAAGTCCGGCTGGGACAGATTTTGCTAACAAACTCAATACACAGACCCCCATCGCAGCCCGGGTGATCAGTGCTCCTGCAGAACTTCCGGAGCGCTCCCAAGTGTGGAACTGTCCTGCGCTACTGAGCGAGACGCTCGTTACCTGAAAACACAGCTCAAGGGCTCCTTCCTGTCCTCGACTGACACTAAGTGCTGCAGTACAAGGCGGATGACAGCAGCTCCTCCATCTCCAAACTAATGTCACTGACGCCAACAGCCAAAGCAACCCGCAGGCGCACTGGCCTTAATATCCCAGCTCTGTGCCGCACACCCTGGGTGAAACTACACTGAACTGCTTTAGGATATTGTTAGTGAGCTGTATGACACAGAGACTGACCAGAACGCAGCAGGAGCCTGGGGGGATGTCTTGAACTCGGAGGAACACTGCCAGGTACCAGCAGGGCTACTGCAGGGTAGAGCTGCCACTCCTTAGCTGTTTACAAGTCAGCCATGCAGCTACTGTAGAGACTGTGTAAGAGAAAGACTGGGAATCCTGTGTATGACAGGAGGCCTAGGAGGTGGTCTTGTTTTTCTCAGCAACACACAGCACAGAGCACAACTCTCCCAGTGAGCCTTCTCCTAATGTCTCGTGAAGTCCATCGGCAGGAACCCATTCGGAGCACCATGCCTGACCGTGCCTAGAGCAGCCCTGGCCGTGCCCTGGGTGGGTGGAGGTTGGTGTGGCCACTGAGGTCAGGAACTCTTTACCTCCAAAGCCGACGTGGTTGTAATCAGAGCAGCGAGTGTGCGTGATCAGTGTGAGGCTGGTCAATTGGAACAGTGGAGTTGGAACCTGCAGCACCTCCAGGTGATTGAGCGGCTCAGTAGGCGCCACCCAGTTGGCGCCTGCCGGCCCATTCCATGTGCAGAGGGTACCCCCTGCCCCATCCCACGGTCTGATTATAAACAGATCGGGTGTAGCTAAGGGGGCTGTGTCCGCAACAGCTAACGGCTTTCCTCTTGCTCTTTTTACACACCGACGGGGCCAGGACATGCCAGCTGGTAAACGTTTCACTCCGCCCATGCGAAAAGTGAACAAACAATAACCAGTAGGCTGAAGGAACAACAAGATGCACATCAGTAATTCTCATTTCCTGCAGCCCTGTGGTTTCACACAGCTTGATCCTTTCCCACAGGCCTGCTGGCAGCTCTGGGACTCCTGATGTGCACTTCTGGAAATAAAACAGGGCCGTCACACACGCATACCATCCAAGTGCAGGACCTTACTGGGAACTGGCTTTTCTTTCAAACATGCAGAATTTGCAAGAACATATTTCATGAATATGCATCCCATCTCAAGTCAACTACAGAGCAATCCTGTCCATTAACTGTTATGCCCATTAAGAGCTTCTATTTCACCCATACCCCGCAGTTAATGCAAACAAAGGGGCTAGTTTATATTCTACAATCAAGGGCAACCTTTGTGCATGTATGTTAAATCCCCTCAAGGCATTCCCTGCAAAGATACTGCTCCTTCTCCAAACTAACTCCTTCACGCTGCACCTACACTGACACCTGCAGGTCGGCATCAGCACTGCGCTGAACTGCACAAGCCTCTTTCATGGTTTCACGGCGCATCCTGGTGCGAGGATCTCCTCGCGCGGTCCTGCTGTTGCTCTGCTACACGCTTCGTTCTGGCCCTCGCACTTTGGGTCAGGTGATGTAACACTAGCTCCTGCAACATCGGCTGTTGCCCGTCGAAGACTGATGACAGTTCGGCTACGAAAATGCCCGGCCTTCGTGCAGAAGCCGTGATTACTACACGGACGTGGCCTAAGAACAGAGGCGTCCTTCGAGTGAGCAACTCGGTAATTCCGTGCAGAAGCAGCAGCGGCAAACTTCACCAGCACTTTCTCGGTTGCCCGTTCTAGTCTAGAAATCAGCAGCAGGTACTGAGGGGGACGTGTCGCTCGGCTCTCCGCGAGTCTGTACACACGGGGTGACTGCTGGCGCGCCTGCTTCTGCGGTACAATTTGCAAAACGGCCCGTGAGCGGAAAAACCCGGTAAGTTTCTGTACAGCGCGCTGCCCCCGTCAGGGTGCCAGGTTTCATGAGCACAAGCGCCCGAGCGCCTGCCCAGCGGCAGCACCAGCGCTTCAGACTTCACACCTCCGCCCGGCTGAACTTGAAGCGTGAGGAGGAGGAGAATCCTGGAGACGTCACTTAAAACAGGTGGAAAGACATCGTTTCACACTGGTCCCGATCGCAATCAGAAGCGCGCTACGAGCACCGAGCATGAGAAAGTTAGTTTTCTTTGTCATGACGGTACACGAAACCCCTCTCGCGCTCGGAGCTGTAACTGCAGGGCTGATTTCGCTACCCTGCCCTGCTGTGATTTTTCGTTTCCTCCCCCCGCCCCCGCAAATGACTACACCGCCACCGGCCTGCGGTGGGCTGCCGTTCCCGCCGCCGCTAGCCGCTCCGGACTCACCGGTGAGGCTGTCGTAACAGTCCATCTCCGTGGTCTCGACCAGCCGCCGCTGCTCCTCGCTCAGGCTGGCGCTGGTGCGGCCCAGCAGGTTCACCTCGGAGCCGGCGGTGCCTTCTTCGTGGACCCCCTTGAGCTGCAGCAGCGAGCGGTGGTACTTCCCGATCGCCTCCCGGAATTTCTTCTCCTTGTAGCAGCGGTTGCCCTCCACCTTAAACTCCACGGCCTTCTGGATTTTGGACTCCATATCCGCATTGGCACGGTAGCCCCCCGCGCCGTCCCCGCCCGCGGCCGCCGCCAGGCTCCTGCCGCCTGCCTCCGGGTAGCTCTTCAGACTCTTGATCGGACGCTGGTTGGCTTCCATGTCTGCTAGCGAGATCGATAGGCCATGCTTCGTAAACCCCGAACGCCTGTTTTCTCTGTATGGTCTGGAGCAGCGTGCTGTGCATAAAGGACGCGAGGCGGCACGGGCTGAAATTCGGAATAGCAATTAAAAAAAAAAACAGGTTACAAAAATCGTCTTATTAAAAAAAGTGAACGCCCCCCCCCCTCCCTCCCCTATTTCTGTTGTGACTTGGCGTCGTTACGTCCTTTGTCCTTCAATCCGCTCAGCCGCTGCAGCTGGCTGGCTGGCTGGTCGGTCGGTCTCCCCCCCGGAGGCTGGGAGGATGCGGGAGGACGGTCGGGGTTGCGCGCTCGCTCTCCGGCTCCGACTCTCAGCTTCAGCACCACAGACAGCGGCTGATGCTGCCCGCGCTGCATTGTGGGAGCCGGGGGAGCGGGGGGCCACTGCATCACGGGCGCGGCGCGGCGCTTCGCCCTTCCTCCCGCGAAAGGAGGCACCGCGGGGCGGACAGGCGCCCGTGGACCGTGTCACCGCTCTCTTACCTGGCGTGTGCGTGTTGGGTTGCTGCCGAACGAGACGGGGCTGCCGCACGCCTCATATAACCAACCAGCTTCTGGCATAAACCACGAACTGATTTTTGTCTTTATTTAAAAAAAAAAAAGTTTTAACTGTCGGTTTCGTTTGCAAACGGCCTCTCTCCCTCACCCTCACGCAAAGCTGAGAGCGTACTGTTAACAGCCCGTCTCAGGCTCGAGTCTGAAACGGGTTGTTGACGGAACCGCGGGCCGGGTGGGGTGAGAGGAGAGGGCTGTGCGGAGGCGCGCTGGGGGAGCCTCGGGTTCGAAGGACCGGGACGCGACCCCCTTCAGGGGGGACGTATCCTCCGGTACACGGCTCAGCGAGCAGCACAAAACTGGAAGCACGTGTTTACAAGGAAACTCCGCCGTTTCGGCGACGCTCAACAGCCCGACCCATTAGAAGTGAAACCCATTTTGCCTTCACAGCAAGAGGATATTATTCCAAGCATCGGTGCACCAAGCAAAGCCCCAGCTAGTCTCAGTTTTATTTAATATGATCGATTTATAGGATATAAAAGGATTTTATTTTTTTTTTGCTTACTGAGAAATCTTAGCAAGATGCAAGCAGCTTTCTGATACTCTCGTTAATTCATTGTAACTAAGATTTCACAGGTGAGTGCTGGCACTATACCCAAGAAACCCACCATACATACTGTACACATACAGTCACAGTAAGGAGTCCAGCAGACACCCTGGCTACTTTCAAGAAACAGCTGGAAGAGATCTTGATGTTCAGCTAGTTACCGACATCTAGTCT